CCTCGACCGCGTCGGCGATCTCGCGCGCGTGCGAGTCCTTGAGCTCCCGCGTCGCGCGCACGGCGTCGGCGAGGTCCGTGGCGTGCGAATCCTCGAGCTCCTCCAAATCGTGCGCGTGGAGATCCCAGAGCTCCTCCATGTCGCCGGCGTGGGCGTTCGCGAGCGCCGCGCGCGCGGCCTCCGCGGCCGCGCGGGCCGCCGTCGCGAGCTCCGTCGCGTGCGCGCTCTCGAGCACCTCGAGGTCGCACGCGTGGTCCTGCGTGAGCGCGGCGCGGGCGGCCTCGGCCGCCGCGCGCGCGGCCTCGGCGGCGAAGAGCTCCGCCGAGAGCGCGGCCTCGGCGTCTTCCGCGCGCTCCGCGAGCGCGACGCGTGCGGCCTCGGAGGCTGCGAGTTCCGCCGCGAGCGCTGCGTTCGCTGCACGCGCGGCTCCCGCGTCGTCGACGAGCGCCGCCGCCGCCGCCGCGCGCGCGGCCTCGGCGCCTTCCGCGCGCTCCGCGAGCGCGACGCGGGCGGCCTCGGAGGCTGCGAGTTCCGCCGCGAGCGCTGCGTTCGCTGCACGCGCGGCTCCCGCGTCGTCGACGAGCGCCGCGTTCGCCGCGCGCGCGGCCTCGGCGTCTTCCGCGCGCTCCGCGAGCGCGACGCGGGCGGCCTCGGAGGCTGCGAGTTCCGCCGCGAGCGCTGCGTTCGCTGCACGCGCGGCTCCCGCGTCGTCGACGAGCGCTGCCGCCGCCGCGCGCGCGGCCTCGGCGTCTTCCGCGCGCTCCGCGAACGCCGCGCGGGCGGCCCGGGCCTCCTCGGCGAGCGCCGCGTTCGCCGCGCGCGCGACCTCGGCGTCGTCGGCCGTCGCCGCGAGCTCGGCCTCGAGCTCGGCCCTCGTCGACGCGAGCGCGCGGTCGAAGGCCTCGGCCGCGAGCGCGGCCGACACCTCGAGCTCCGTCCTCGTCACCTCGCGGCGGCCCTCGGTGAGGTCGCGGAGGGAGTTCCGCGCGGCGCCGTGGCCCTTGGCGGCCGCGCGCTCGTACCATCGCTTCGTCGCCTCGAGGTCGCGGTCGACGGCGAGCCCGAGGTGGAGGTAGCGGCCGACGTAGAACTCGGCGAGCGTGAAGCCCTGGTGCGCGGAGTGGACGTAGTAGGCGAACGCGGCCTCGAACTCGCGGCGCTCGTAGAGCGTCGTGCCGTAGTCGCACTGCGCCTTCGCGTGGCCCCGGTCCGCGGCCGCGCGGCAGAGCTCCAGCGCGCGCTCGTCGTCGCGCGCGACGCCGTCGCCGACGTGCAGCGCGTAGGCCAGCGCGACCGTCGCCTCGACGTCGCCGAGGTCGCTCGCGCGGCCGTAGAGCTCGACGGCCCGCGGCGCGTCGCGCGCCAGGCCCAGCGCGCCCGCGCGGTGGACCTGGCCGAGTTGGTAGAGCGCCGCGGCCGATCCCTCTCCCGCGCGGCGCCGGAGCGCCGCGAGGAACGCCTCCGGCGCGAGCGGCGGCGCGCGGCAGAGCGGGCACGGGCCGTCGCAGATGCGGTGCGCGCAGGCGACGCAGACGTTCATGGCGCAGCAGACGCGGAAGCTCGACCCGACGTTGACGTCCCACGCCTCGCGGCAGATCGGGCACCGCGAACCGTACCGCGGCGACAGCGGCTCCGGCGACGGGTTCGCCTCGCGCCGCGCGCGGGCCGCCTCGTGCTCCGCGGCGATGCGCGCGCGCGCCTCGTCGGCGTCCGACCGCGGCGCGGGGCCGTAGACGACCGCTGCGGGCGGCGGCGACGGCGCCGCCGCGTCGGCGTCGCGAATCCGCTCGCACGCCTCGCGGTGGCCGCGGTCGCGCCAGTCGACGGTCTTGCAGGCCTGAGAGCAATACGCGATCGTGCCGCAGACACAGTTGAACGTGGACGGCTCGCCACAGATGCCGCAGGCCTTGAGCGCCTGTCGCGCCTTGCGCCGCGACTTCAGGGCTTGATATTCATCGCGTTTGTCCCGCCAGTCGCCCATCGAGGGCGACGGGGGGGGGGGGGCTTGGTTCGCGTGTACGGGGGGCCTTTGGTTGGCGTGGACGAGGAGGCCTGATCCTTGAAGCTCGACTCGACGCACGTTGCCAAGGATCAGCGCATTAGGCGACGCACCCGCGTACGCGCCTACCTTGGGCGGGCGCGGGCACTGGGAGCTCTCTCTCTAGCGCATTACTAGTAGGCGACGCACCCCGCCTACGCGCCTGCCTCTGGAGCTCTCTCTTCGTAAGCTTATCCAGGGGGGTTCGTGGGGTACCTTGGCGAGCCGAGCCAGGTGGCGGCCGGAGGCCGCCCCCTAGCCGTCGCAGCGGAGGTTGGTCGTGAGGGTGGCGAGGGCGGCGCGGTCCGCGAGGCGGCGCGCGTCGTCTTCGAGTCGGTGGGAGAGGGCGCGGGCCTTGGACGTCCAGGTGCCGTCGACGAACTTGAGGCCGGAGATCAGGTAGCGCGCGCGGTACTTCGCGGCGGTGGTGCCCCACTCGCGGTGGAGCTCGTTGCTGAGCAGGGCTTTCGCCTGGTCGGGGCACGCGCAGCCCATGGAGATCCAACGCGACTCGGAGAGCGCGGTCGCGACGTCCGCGAGCAGGGACGAGACGTCCTTGGAGGCCTCGGAAAACTGGCCGAAGACGAGGCCGACGCAGCCGCCGAGGGAGCTCAGCGCGCGGAGCATCGGGCCGTCGGAGACGCCGTTGATCTCAACGTCGATCTGCTTCGCGTGCGCCTTGTATTCGTTGTCGACGTAGGACGCCCGCTTGTCCACGGGCGACGCGCCTCTCCGCGCGGACGCCGCGGTGGAGTAGTAGTTCGAGTCGGCGGCGGACCAGGCAAGCGTTTTCACGTCGAAGATGCGGCGGACCTTGTCGAGGGGCTCGACGGCGAGGTCCGGC